AGAAAATTAGCTTTCGTATGTGGTGCCGTAATGTTTTCTGCACCTGTTCCACCTCCTCCTCCGTTTCACTCAAAGTAAGGTTTCACATTTGTGTACATATTACGTATTTTGCTTGTATTTTTTTCTATTTTATTATCATGTATTACATTAACAATGCATAGATTTAAGGATTGAAGAAATGTTACTTGATTTTTCTCTGGTTTTCCATTTTTTTATCTACTTATTCTGTTGTTTTTGAGAACTGTTACACAGATTAGGCGTTTTACATGTAAAACTTGCTTCGAGATACGAAATGTTCAAGATCCGAACATCACCCTGGAACCAATTAAGTTCGTATCTTGGAGTACCACTGTACTTCTCAAATGGTTGATGAGTACCATGCTCGTTTGGTTTTGGAGAAAAATCCCATGAGGTGATGAAACCTGGTGAGCATTTCTTTAATATCCTATTTTTACTGTCTCAGACAGTGGCCCTTTTATCCTGTGTATTCAGTCCAAAAACAGGCTTCGTTTACAATTTGGAATTATTATTTTTATGTGAAATTATATGCAACATTCTATTATATTTCGGGACCACAATATCTGCTGCTGTTTGAACAATAATGACCAGAGACCATAAATATCTAAGTTAAGGAAGCTCCGAGTAAATAATTTCTACACTGTTCTTTGAAGAACAAACAGCAGGTGCCACTCCCTGGCATCTCATTAATTCATGGCTGGCTACACATTTGTCCAAAAGTGATGTGTGAAAGCACATTGTCATGGATGTTGTGATTTTGAATTTAATATTAACACAGCAAAAGTCAATTGGTGACCTTAAAGACTACTTGTAATCTGGTGTTTACCTGTGAGCGGGCTGCGCGGTTTGGCCCCGAGGTAAGCTAGATTCACATTAGCTTTGCGTCCATCAATAATAGGGTTGGGGTCTTTACATGCTCTCTCTGCTGCACTTTTCTCCATCATAGTGACCTGAGAAAGAAAAAGAATAGCAAATTTAATTCAAGTTATGACCCAAACTTTATTTTTTTTCCATTTTAGACTTTTTAAGACTTGGCAGGAACGCTGTGCTCTGCAACCTTTTGTCATTTCATTATTTTAACATGTAATGTGTAATTCTTTTCAAAAGTTCCAGCCAAAACTGTTAACACTGCGTACAGCTAAAACAAGGTGCACATCCACCCATGCTCAAGCTCTCACAGTGACAAATGCACACACCTACCCCCACTCAAACTGAAAAGTGCCCCACCCTTTGAAGCCCCAGTGGCAGCTGTGTATGTGTGTGTGTTCCCTGGGGCTGGTGGAACTAGAAACACTGCCGGAGCAGGAGCCAAAAGAGCGGTTAGCAGCAGAATTCTCAGGATCTGGTTTCTGTCAGGTAAACACAGCACTGTGCTGGCTTCACTTGTCTAGTGCCCTTGTGAGGAGGTGAAGAGTGTCAACACAACAGACACACAAACACACTCGTGACTGTGGCCATGTTATTATCTCAGTAGTTACAGATCCGCCTAATAAACGAGGCAACAAACCCTGGCAAAAATCCAACAAAGCCAGCAAAACTCTTTTAGTCTCTCCCCCCCTGCTCTGTTTATCTAATGTGTGTGTCGGCACATTACAGCTCGGCAGTTGACCTGCTCAGAAAAAAAGTGAAGTGAAACGTATCTCTTATATGTAGTCTCCAAGGGCAAGCTGCAACACTGTTCATTTACAATACAAGACAAATATGAGACGCTTCAACCCGAGGGAACCTCACCAGACGCGTTAACAACATGCATGGATCCAAATGAGATGATCTCCAAGCAACACATTCCTAAAAGTGTCAAATTGGGAAAATACAAAAACTGAAGAAATATATAAATAAATGAAATACACATATAGGGGTTGAAAAGAGATTTTAACACAATATTATAGATCTTGGAAGCCAGTGAGGACACTCAGATTGTTCACTTATTGCTGGCTTTGCAGAAGAATACGACAAAGATGAAAAAAAGAACCCGTAACTTTTGCCTGCCTTAAAGCCCTCTCTACCTACACTAATCCGCTCGCTGCTGAAAAAGCTCATGTCCACCTTGCATCGATTGTTTATTTTAAGATAATGAAATGATATTTTTGTAGACGTGTCTTGAAGTTTGATTTAGCATGTGTTTATACCATAATTTTGAAAAAAAAAAAGCCACACCACAGGTATTGTACTTCCAAGGGTTATACCTTCTTTTCACCCCTAGATGGCACAGATTTGGGGTTTGTAAAATTAAACTGAACTAATTACATGTGCAAATTATGTCAACTTTTGTAATGCTCCTTTAAAACAAAAAAAAATTAAAAAACCACTATGAAACTTGCATTCTATTTGAAATCAAAATTAAACAATAGGTGGGTTACATAATGCCTACTTAATTTAAAACAGCTTGTGAGATTGGCACAACATTCTAAGTGTTAACCTGAAAAAAAACCTTCTAGGGCCTTCATTCACAAAGTCAAAACAAAATTCCTATTTTTCCAAGTGAAAGTAATATAATTACTTGTAATTACTGCACATGTTTGTTTCCGGATATCATAAGAGAAGATATTGCTTTTGTTGATAGTGCATCACTATCAGGAGGAGGGAAAAATCGCCTTTAATGTCCAGCCTTGGCGTAACAATTTTACTCATAACGTCGTCAATGGCTTGAATAAATACAATTTTTAAAAGAAACAAACTTGTTCTTTGTTTGTGAACACCCACGGCTTGATTTTTGATTCAATGTACTCTAATAAAACACCATACAAACCACTAAAAGGCTCAACACGTCATGAACCCTCTAATACCAAGACGATCTGGAGTCATTTCAATGCTACAGCTGTATACAGTACTATATAACTTACTCCACAGATTATTTCTGGACACTACTTTTGATTACTATAACCACGGTATACGTCGCTCTGGTACTGTACTATCCACGACACAGTGGCATTGTTCAACAAAGCTGCATTTACTAGGCCAAACAGAAGCAAATAAAACCCTGGGGTATAAGAAAATCCATCCTTGTCATGTTTACAGCCGCAATCCACGATTAACGTTTGTTACAGTGAACAAAGATTAGGGCAGAATAATGACATAACGACAGAAAGCTGCTCAATCATTAGAGGCATACCCTCGCAACCTAAGTATTAAGTGAGCAGAGGTTAAGGTCTTGCAGCATATCCCTGAAGATAAACTCTTGAACCCCAGCACACTTTTTAAAGTGCTTAAAAGAGGCCACTTCATCCAAACCTGAGACCCTGCTCTCAAACTTCATCCACGAGGCTAGGAAGATAATTGATGACATGTTTTCCCCTGAAATAATCCACTTATGGGCATGTGACTCAACACTACACACTTGTGGAGCAATGCAATGTAAGAACATATTGTGCCCCTGAAAACCACTCGATATCTGAGGATTACATTTAAGGGCCTTCAGCACTAAATCGGACTAGGTGGGAAACATTTAGGCCTATTAAAATGGGCTCACCATAAGCCTTTGGATCATCATTTGTGACAAGGAAATGCGCTAAGCCATGCTGGAGAGATTTATAAACAGCTGCTCTGGTTTCTATTGTGTGTCTTCAATGGCTTTTGTTCTTCTGAAACAAACAAAGACAGACACGCGACGACTGTCACCTGGGGAGCGCGTGCACGAGCGAATCATTCTATTCATTTCGGTGAATCGATTCACTTGAACAGATCTTTTAATTGAACCGTTTACGCGAACAAACACACTAGAAGTTCGGTGTAACGAGTTTTTGTTAAATTAAGAGCGGATAAGACATTCATACAAATATTCATCTTACTCAGTTCGAGTAGCTTTTACATTTGAATGATTCCCAACACAACTTGGGTTGGTGAACCGATTCATGTGTTCGAGTCTGCCGAACAACTCGACCATTCGCTACAGTTCGTTAAACTACAAGGTTTACGAAAAGCAATAATCTGTTTTATTTGAGAATTATTTTAGCTACACTCAGCAAACGAATAACATTCTATACATTTATTTATTAACAAAAAAACAATTACGATTAACGTCAAACAACCTTGTGGTTGTTGCACACGAAACTTCCACGCATTCAAAAGTATAAAACAATGCTTATTATTGTCAGATATATATACACGAAATGTTGCATTGTGGTATCATGTTAGCTTCTGGTACTAATGTAACCGTTATAAACTCGTATACTCACAAAGCCGTAACCTCGAGATTTCCCCGTCTGTCGGTCCGTTATCACGACCGCCTCGTCGATGTCCCCGAAGCTCTCGAAGTGCTTTCGGAGGGACGCGTCGGTGGTATGGTACGGTAACCCACCGACGAAGATCTTGGTGAGCGTCGTGTCCTTCTGGAAACCGGGATACATCGTCTCCAACGACCCGTTCACGAACTGGTTAAAAAGCATCGGGGAGCGAGATTCAGTGCCGAGTTGAAAGCGGTCGGACTATAAATAAGTATAAATAACCATAAATAACGAGGTCTAGCCTACAGAGAGGTAGAGGGTTGCCCTTTGGTTCAGAAAAACACCTGTGGCACCAGTCAGTCACCGTCATGTGTTAAACAGCTCCGTTACTCCATGACCTGAGACGTGTGACAGGTGAACGTCTGAATGAATAAAGCTCTCGAAACCAATTCCAGAAACACGCTTTACTCGGCGGGGGCGCGCACGCACACTCCGCCTCCTTCTGACGTCGAGACGAAGTTCTCGGTTTCACCTGTGTCCAAGCTGCACCTGTCTTTGTTTTGTGACTCTGGAAACACGGCTTTCATGGCTGTCAGCAGCTGTACAAATGTTTCCTCCCACTGTCCAAAAACATGTGTCAGGGAGATCAGTGACTAAAAGGACCACAGGCACAGACGAGCAAGGCTTGGACTAATGGAGGATGGTATAGAGGCAACCATAGACTCCAATGACCTGAAGTATTATACTGGTACAAGCTACATGAACCATTAAGGGAAATAAATAAATAGATATATCCAATCTTCTATTGTCTAATTTTAGGCTTTCCTGTGGCTCAGTTGGTAGAGCATTGTGCGCTAACAACGCAAAGGTTGTGGGTTCATGTCCCAGGGAAAGCAAGAACTGACAGAAAAAATATGTCCATTCAAATGTAAGTCGCTTTGGATAAAAGCGTCTGCCAAATGCATAAATGTAAATGTAATTTTGGTGAGCACTGTGCAACCAGCATCCGTTGTCGTCTCCTGCTGTTGTAGCCATGATTCGACGAGTTGTGTGTTAGGGATGGCTCTTCTGCTTGATTTCTTTTCTGAGTGGTTATGTGAGTTACTGTTGCCTTTCTATCAGCTCTATATAGTTTGGGACATTCTCTGTAAAATCTAAAGATGGTTGTATGTGAAAATCCCAGTAGATAAGCAGTTTCTGAAAATACTCAGACTACGTTCAAAGTGGTACCCCGAGATACGAAAATAATCCGTTCCAGGATTGGATTCGTATGTCGAACAATTCATATCTCGAAGCAAGTTTTACATGTAAAACGCCTAATCCGTCTAACAGTTCTCATAAACAACAGAATAAGTAGATGAAAAAATGGAAAAATAGAGATCAAATCAAGTAACGTTTCTTCAATCCTAAAATTGTTAATTTAATAAATGATAATAAAATAGAAAAAATACAAGCAAAATACGTAATATGTACACAAATGTGAAACCTTACTTTGAGTGAAGCGATGTGTCGGAGGAGGTGGAACGGGTGTAGAAAACATTACAGCACCTCATACGAAAGCTAATTTTCTCAAGACATTTCAAGAATTACTAACACAAACACCGTTTCAAGCACAAGCGGAGACAGATGGAGAGAGCGCTCCTAAGAACGCGTGACTGTGTTTTTCTAAGTTGCGCTACAGAACAGCACTTTTAACATTATAAACATTATATCTTTTACGACACCTTGATTCTAACATTTGTTATAGAACGTCATTAATAATCTTTACATAATATTTTGCGGTGTTGTTGAGGTGTTTTGAAGCGTATCAGCACCCGGAAGCACAACGCGACGTGACCCAGAAGCGCACCATGATGTCATGATGTCGGGCGGAAAATACAGCAGAACAGCTTGTGAATGTTCGTATCTCAAATTTTTCTTCGGATCTCGAAGCAAAAAAATTTCTGTGAGATGTTACATATCTCGAACATTTTTTATCCTCTTTATTCCACATTCTAATGCTGGGAGATCCAAGAAGCTCTCATGGAGAGTCAGGGTGCGTGAACAGTAGATCTGACAGCCTGCGCAGATGAGGGCGATGGATTGGAGAAGTGTCCTGATTGGTTGACTGAAGCAGTGGGGTGATTGTCTGCAGGCGGATTCAATGAAGTGCTCATGATTGATGGCTGTGTCTTTTGGGGGCACTGGATACCCGCCACTTACGGCTTTTAAACATAACGTCCGCTTTTTAAAAATGGAAATAACTAGATAAACAGATAAAGTCTATCAATGCAAGTCGTGATTCTTAAAAGTGACTAAGCTCAATGTACAAAACACAATGGACACCATTGATGGTAAACTCAAGGATAACAGAGTTGGGGGTGGAGGGAGGGGTGAAAAAAATCCTGTAAATTGTTGTGATTACTTTACATCGAAATATTGTGTCGACTTAATAACAGCTTAATAATAAATGCAGTATGGGAAGACTTGTTCACTAGAGTTTCAGTGGTTGCCCAACAACAGTAGGTGCTGTAGTTTGACAGTTTTATACTAGGCATGGTGCCGTTTTTAAAATAAAAATAAACAGTAACATGCTGTTAACTTGAACCACAGTAGGGCACTGTACATTTTACAGTAACAGCTGCCAGCAGATAATCAGCTTTTCTTGTAATTTAACACTTTTAAAATTGTTGTGAAAATACTGTAGGGCACTGTAGTTTCTACAGCATTATGCTGGAAAGCCCACGAAAAATGACTAAAATCTGTTAAAATAAAAAAAATATTTGAAAAACAATAAAATATGCATTTCGTATGTTTTTTTAAATACTGGACTGACATTAAATCCGATTAATGACACCTTTTCAAATGTTTATACCCAATTATTTAAAATGCAAAGGTATTTTCATGAATGATAACTTAATGGTTTACAAATGCCAATAAACCACATGGAATCCTCACTTCAAATAAAAAAATAAAAAAAAACTAGGGAAGTTTAGATGCATGATATTGTTTTCTCTCTTTTGGGAGTGTCTCTTCCAGTTTAGCCGTTGTGTGTGGTTTGTCAGTCCTCAGAACGTGTGAGCTTTGTACAGTGTGTGCTGCTTGATCAAGAGCATCAAAGACCTCAACACCAGGCTGACACTGGCTCTCGTTCCCTCATTTACATTTACATTGAGGCCTCGTGTGAGAAGAATTACACCCCTGGAGGAACTCACAAATGTTTCTCACACCTGACGAGGTAAATGTGAAGAGCAGAGCCATGAAAGAGACAGGAAAACTGTTTCTGAAGAGAGGCACAGGAAGGACAGACAAGAGACGATGAGAACAATACAAATAAGAATCATTTGGATCAATGGAATTCCTTAAAATTTTAATTTTGTGCTGTTACTGAATTTTCAATTATACATATACAGTGATTTTATTTGCAATTAAAACTGATTTAATTTTATAAATGCATTTTTTTTCTTAAATTAAATCCTTATTCCTGGTTTGTGGAAGTGAGAAGAGCTTCTCAATTGGCTACATTCAACACACCTCTCTAACTGGTCAATGATTTAAATATTAGTGACATGTGACATGAACGCATGACAGTTTGATGCTCTGAATCAGGAAAATGGAGCTCAGAGACAAAATATGGTTCCAAATGTGCATTTATAACAGCTCTCCTAACTATTTATTAGAAGTCCGGAGCCTTATTGGGCGTTTTTTACTACTTTACAATTTGTTCAAATAAATTTGTGCCTTAAATAAATCTTTTTTTGTGCCTTTTATTTGCAAATAGTTTTTCATGACATTATATTTGTAACCCTGAAATTAAACAAAAAGACCAACTCCAAGTACTACATTTTGCTTTGTTTACTGCGAAAATCTCCAAATTTAACAAACAACAATTTTTATGTTTTAGTACAAAAATCTAACTGTTGAGACAAAATAAAAGTTTATAAATCCCCCCAAAAAGCAAAGACAAGGTCAAAATAATTAGAAAATTGTATCACATTCTCTCCCAAACCGTATACACTGTTCCAACCACTTTTTGTTCCAACAAGACAAGACAAAAACAAGAGCCCTTATGACAGGTCTTCTATGTCAAAGAGTTATCACTTCTTTTCACCGCTAGATGGCACAAACTTTTGGTCTAAAACGACACAGATCACATTTCAGATCACGTAGCTTATCTAATTTAAATATGAATTACCTTGCAAATGATGCATTATAACTCTTGTAATGTTTTGTTACAAACAATAGGTGTATTGTGTCATTCATACATAATTCAAAACAGATGCTGAAATGGCCACACCCACCAGTGTTACGAACATCAAATTTACAAAAAGGAAAGGATTTACAAAAAGGATTCTCTTAAAAGACTTTCAAAATCTTGGTGTCAGGGGTTCAGTATGTTCCTATGAGACAGTCACTCACCACTTCCAAAGCAAGTACAACGAAACCCTCAACAAAATCACTGTCACCTCCCAAACACATACCCCTAAAAGACTGCTCCCAGCACCTCCTACGTTGTCAGATCTACAGTTCACACCTGCTGACTCTGCAGAGTGAAATCTCTTGACTGAATCCTCACCTGCTCCCATATTGCTTGGACTGTGTCTCTGGAAACTTCACAATATTACTCTTCTGATCTTTGCTGTTTACTGGAGTATTCAAAACTGAACCTAAGGATCCCATCCCACAAGACATCTCTGCCCGAGCGACTTCCGGGTCTACGTGGGATTCTTTGATAAGTTTTGGTATGTTATTTAAAAAGAACGTCATTTTTTCTATAACATAATATAGTATTAACCTATGAATAAACCATTGTCAATGTGTAAAAGAAGCATCAATAAGAAGCTGCGCATTAGAAGCTAGATTCAGATTAGTTTAAAGCACAATAAATAAGTGAGTACTGAAATCTTTTGAAAGTTGTTAGCTGAAACATTTCTGATCATGAAAAGTTGGCTTGAAGAGCATAGAAATAATCAAAAAACAAACAACACAACATTGAAAATTCAGAAGACATTTAAAGTAGTTTTATCAGCTCAAAAGCTCAAAGTAGTTGCTTTTTAGTTTCTTGGTGAGCCTTTTAACTTAGTGAGCCTCTTAGTGAACTATTTTAACTAAGAAATTTTATTTGACTGTATGAAATGAGTTCATGTTATAGGTACAAAAACTCATATTGTCCCTTTTTGTTTGGCGCCTTTCAAGACGCTCAACGCTGCCTTACATTACACCATACACAACAGGCATGTCTGGATAAAATATGAAAATAGATACCAAGCGAACAGAAGAAAGCTTGCTTGAATAAAAACATATTAAATCGCAATGGTTACGATAAGTACTACTTCAAACTGAAAAAGTCGACAGTTTGGAACTGCATAACTGAACCTTGGGAAAACCAACGCACGTGAGGAAGAAGATCTTAAGGTACAGGAAAGAAGGTCAGTGATATAGGAGGGTGGAAAGAAGCAATTTAAACTCAATATGTTAGTTGACAGTGCAGGTGCGACTGCTTAAGAACAGTTGCAGCATTCTGAATAAGCTGTAGTTTATAAATGGTATATTAGGGTAGACTGAAAAGGAGTGAATACAGTCATCTAGTTGTGAAGTTCTAAATGTATGGACCAAAATATCAGTGGAAGATTGCGAAAGAGAGGGACAGAAGTGGTTAATGTTTTGTAGCCAAGACAAGGCTGAATCCAAGAAACAATGTATTTGACGTTAGAAAGAAAGGGATTGATCCAGGACAACCCCTGCGTTTTTCACATGTATAGATATTGAAGTTTATTAGGCCTCAACAAATCATAATCATAATCTTATAATAAGCATTTATTTATACTCCATTTCCCAATGATCCTCCAATTGTTATGTTTTCAAAGTCTTTTTTTTTTGCACGCGCAAAACCCCAGCAATTGGTGGTAGTTTGGCC